AACTAATCATGTTATTCAGGCGTGCAGGGTGTCCAGGGTGAGATCTATAACCTGCAGGACACCGGCCCCAGGAGTTGGACACCCCTGCCTTGCTGTCCCTCCCGGTCACTCCCACTCTAAGCATCTTCAGCTCCGCCCCCTACAGCTTCCACCTCATGTTTTTTGTCACTACCACGTTGCAAAGTTTCACTTTCATTCTTGCTGCTATCCTGTCACAAATCACCCCTGACACTCACCTCCACCCGCCTCCAGCCTCTTCATCTCCTGTGCACTGTCTGTTACTTGGTTGAGCCCCAGCTAAACTCATCCACCTTCAATACCTGGACTCTGTCTGTAGTAAGTTACACTGAACAGAATCCAGATCAGCTGATCTGTGGCTGTGCTTTTGTTGAACTAAGGCTACGCTCCATTTTCTAAATTCGAAGCAGTTCAAAGTAGAAGAACGAGTCGCAGTACTTACATCCGTCCTCTCATAGCTTTTGCTCTCTGCTCCTGTTCAGGGTTGCGTGGCTGAACAGGAGTGGTTTGTTCAGGCGGACAGAGAGGGGTAAAGCCCGGGTACACCCCTGGTTCTAGACTCTGCAGACATGACAGGATCAGAGTTCAGGTGATGATGTCCCACTGATTTCTATCAACATCAGTAACATTCAGCATACTCAGATGTTGAATATGTAACAACTCCACATAATCAAACCGCACAAACACGTGTGATGCCAGCAGGGGGCAGCAGTCGCTTCAAACATGCAAACTGACACTGCTGCTTTGTTTCATTGCAAATCGTGTCTATTAGATGATAGCAGAGAGTAATCAGCTCAGCAGTAAATGTCTCTGCAAGTCTGTCTATGGAAACTCCACAACATTTCATACATGCAGCAGTGAAACATCAGAGACACGCTGGGGTCCAAAAGACACTTTTATTCTTTTATTTATTCTCCAGAAAGTTTCCTGAGATTAAAATCTGTTATTGAAGAAAGACAACGTTAAAGCTTAAGCCAGCCTGTCCCAGGAGTCTCTCTACTCCTCTATTCCTCCTGTTTCTCATATTTGCCGTCTTACTATTTCTATTTTAATTGTGCACAGTTAGTGTGGAGCACCCACAATTCCCTTGTACACGTGCAATGACAATAGAGGGCTATTCTATTCTGTTCTATTCTATTGTAGAAATAGGGCAGCTTTCTTATCTGCTTCACTTGTGATGTCAACCTTTTATGTACAGTCTATGACAAAGAGTCTGTCTTTATCCTGTCTTCCTTCTCTCACCCCAACCAATCACAGCAGATGGCCCCGCCCCTCCCTGAGCCTGGTTCTG